TTATCATAATCGTTTGCGTTGTGTGGACAGCACAGCAAAGGTCCGGCAACTTTTTATTTGATCTTGCGCCGTCCCGGAACCCTGTTCCCCGAAGTCGGGATCTTTCAAAAATTCCACAGTTTCTAGCAAACGTCTGCAGTGGGGGCAACATAACTATACTTATCGGAATACCGAACACATAAGCCGACTGCCCCAAGTAAACCGGAAACAACCTCACCAAATCCAAGAAACCGATTGAACAAAATCAAAATGGCACGCAAATACGAAGACATCATCGTGACAAGCGAAGGGGGCATTCGTTGGATCAAGTTAGTTATTGAAATCATCCGCCGGTTGTTCCGAGACATCCTCGGTCCCCGACAGTATCACGAGGAAAATAAGCATACGATTTGAGCTTGCGCATTCGATTTGATGGACTCATGATTGCGGGAAAGCATTGGATTGCTCGAAGTTCCGGTGGAACTTCTTGAGAACCATAACTATCCGGAATCGCTCCAATGTCTTGTTTGAGCGCTTTGTCGAGGAAAGCCCGACCGCCTTGTATTATTAATGCGTGATCTTGATCTCGACTGAAGCGGAGACATGCTGCATTTCTGCGAAATTGGTTCCTGTCACCTTTTTACTATGTCTCATGGTCCCTCCTGTTTACTTTGAAGATGGAACCGCCCGAAATCCCTTAACGCTTTTGGTGGCAGCCTCATGATTGAAACTGCTCAAGCCCTACGTGATGCTGACGCTGATCCAAGTGTGGTTTTTACTGTGATCACCGGTGAAGGGAGGTTCTTGTCCAGCGGGGCGGATGTCAGAAGTGTTGGTGAGTTCACCTTTCAAGAGAAGATGTGAATGTGTCAGTGTGGTGTTGGAACGAGGACGGCGGAAGATTGATGCAGATGCCAACGCCAAACTGCCTTCGTCATAGCCACTCCGATGTCATACAGAGAAGCCTACAGGAGTCCAAAACAATAACCTTTTGTCACGCATCGCGGTGTGTAGCATACCGGAAAGCGGACAGGTATACTTGTAGCCGCCGAGGGAGACGAGGCAGCAGGAGAAGTTGTCGGTGGGAATGAACGCACGGAGATTTGGTTGCGAAAAGCGGTCAGCTCACTGAACTCACTCGCTCACGTCGTGGCCCTCGGCACTCAGGCAAAGCCGACCCTAATGCTCCCACCGCGGAATCGAACCTCCAACTCCGCAAGTCATACCAGGCTGGGAAGTGAGTGAAACCCCTCTAGGCGGAAATGCAAATTGGGCAATACGGGACGGGATGGCGCAATTGCATAAGACTGTGCTTGGCCCTCAAGAGGCAGAGGAAGTGTGGTTCCTTTGTCTGGTTCTGATCTTGGCAGTAATTCCTGGCCCCCAATCTAATCTCACACAATTACAACCAACCAAAGCTTCTCGTCTTCCCTCGAGGTTATGCGTTTGCTCGCTGACGTAAGTCATTGTTGAGATTCCTTTTTCTGTTTTTGCCCATTTGGTATGCACTGCTCTGTTTATTGTTTTTTACTGATTTTCACCCACCTTCCCACTGGCCACGGGCTGTTAACCACCCGCAGCACAAGAAGATCCTTGTGATTGCCATGAACGGGCCTGCGGTTGGAGCCGGTAAGTAGGATTTCACACTCATTTGTACATGAAAAGTCAATGGTTGGGGATGACAATCATTTTTATTGGCGTCGTCCCATACAACTCGTCACGATTCCATACGATAAATGGATTAATCAGGTGCTGCATGGTTCCTTGGCGTAGCGGATCTTGTTTTCGCATCGGACTCGGGTGAGTTGATTTGGGTCACGAATCTCTGTCGCTACATCTGTCGGTTCTCTTCAATTTTGATCACTGGTAACCCGAAATCACATGTACGCACACATTATGTACCTTTCCACCAGCTTGGTTCCAAATCCCTTTCTCCTCCCTGGGCCTTGTTCCGGAAGGCGGCTCTGCTGTCACATTCGCCCAGTCTGTCGGCGTCCGCCGCGCAACTGAGGCCCTTATGTTTGGTACCCGCGTGGATGCAGCTGAAATGGAGAAATGGGGTCTGGTCAAGTGGGTATTGACAGATGGATACTTTTGATGCCTAGTCTCACTAAATGAATCAAAACCTTAGCCGCGTGTTCCCCACTGCCACGTTTCACCAATCGGTGGGCGCCTACCTCGCGAAGCAACTTGCCGAATGCGACCATACTTCGCTACTTGAGACGAAACGACTCATTACCGAACCCTTGAAGGAAGCCCGCATTCAGGCTGCCTACAGGAGTGTGGATGCTTTGGCAGAAATGTGGGTCATTTGTAGATGATTACCTTCATGCCAGTTGCTGACATGGTCGCTTTCCGCCGTCCGTCGTCTCTCAATTCAACTATCAAGGTTTGCCAAAGGCATTCCCACTGATCGTTTCCGCGCTAAGGCAGCCGCGATGGCTGCAAAATCCGCTTCCAAGACCAAGCTTTAGTTAATGCGAATGCCATGAGTGGGAAGCGTGTGGCCAGCAAGTGATTGTGGAGGGAGTACAAGACGTTGATAAAAAAGTGTACTTTCGGGGGTCGGTTATACATTCTTCATCGCATGTCCGTGATTTGAGAGTGCAAGACTTTGATACAAAGGTGTGTACTCTCGGTGGGTCGTAATACATTCTTCAGCGGATGTCCATGATATGCAGGTGCTGTATTTTTATAACCAGGAAATTCATCAGTGCTATTCATTGGCAGCAAGCAGAAAAGTTCTCTGCCTTACGCAGTAAAGTCGGCAATAACACAACCTTGTTGAGGGGATTACTTCACCAAGTAAACTGTTACTGACTTCAAAAACAATTTTATAAAAAAATTGCCTTAAATGTCACAGAACAGATCAATCACTAGTCCCGACGTGTTCGTGTCTGCAACCAGTTGCTACTGTTATCACCCCAGGTCCAGCCGGGCCCGGATAACATGATATGGACTGCCCAGCTTTAACGACTTGCCACAGCACCATATCTGCCAACAACTTCTTCATAGCTAGGTGGCGCACCACCGATTGCATCCAAAGCACCATGGCCCACCTCAAACCCTGCACCAGCAGTCCGATCCAGTGTGGGAGCCAGTGCCTCAGCGCCACAGGTTGGTGTTGGGGCAGCTGGCCCCTCCCTTTGGGCAATCTCCAATTCTTCCAGGTCGCAACATCTGGAGAAAAAGGGGCAGCCACAGCAGATCGGACAGCAAATGAGCAGTGAGGTGATAAGGACAATAAACGGCGGCAGGAAGACATCGAGATAGAAAATGGTGTTGGAGGGTTTGTCAATGCTTATTGATGAATAGAAAGGGAAGGATCAGAAAATTGAAAGATGAAAAGCTGTGAGTTGACAACGAGAGAACTGACCTGAGTGAGAAGGAGTCGGGCATGGTGTAACCATGCGTTCCCGGCGGTGGTGCAACCGCAAGGAACGACACCGAGCCGACCGGCTTGTCGAAAAATGAGTAGGGGTCGCAGGAAATTACTGGGATCTGTCTGGTTTGGAACGGCATTCCTGAGTATGGTGACTGAACGATGTCGGAGATGTCGGAGCGATGATCAACAGACGACCCCCGGCAGACCGCTGTTGCACCAGCTGTAGAGTATGTAACGGCAGAGATGTGCACTGACGCGTTACCGCTGTGCGCGTAGGCGAGGGGTGATGCGGTGTACCTTCGATACCAAATCAAGAGTTCAGTAAAGCCACACAGCCTTTGTGAGCGAAGCGGAATGAAGGGTTTGATGTGGGCAGCTGAATTTGCTTCGAACGAGCCCCAGTGCTGCTTGACAACGCCAACCTCCTCCCTATCCCTCCGCCTAGTGACGCACAAGCTCACCACACAAAGTAGTACTCAGATCTGCTTCCAGCCTTTCCTGTCCAAGAGCCCTTCGCCGCTTGTCGCCGGTGCAAAGCATCGCTTGGGGGCTGACCAGTAGATGTGAAGAGGTCAAAAGAAGATGATGAGGAAAGACCGATAAAAACACTGGATGGCACAAAAATAGTGCGTTAGCATTGAAAATTTGAGGGAACGGTGTTTGGTCTTGTGAAGTCGGGCAAACGTGGCACTAACGGCGGAATATTCCAATCAGTCATATCCCATTCGACTTGCCACGTCGAGCCACGATAAAGATCAAATCTTAGATAACGGTACGACCCGCCTTCGGGTAAAGATATCTCTATCGTTTTGGTGAGAGGAAGAGTAAAGTTGAGGGAGGGAATCTGGTGGGATGACTGATACACGACGGATTCCAAAGCGGAATCTAATCGGTCTGGCACCACCGCCATGGTAGTTGAGGATACAAATCCTCCGAGTGTCGGAATGCTTGAATCGAAAACAAAGATTTGAACCCCGTCGTCGACCAGGAACTCATAACCCAGTGTTGTCACCATGTCGCGACCAGGATCGATGAGAACGCGATCACCGGCTACAAGAGTAAGCTTCTCTGAGTGAGAGAGAGGGAAAATGACGGAAAGGGCTAGGAGGATCACGACTGCCAAGAAAATGCACGTGCAGGAAAGACAGCATGCAATTGACCGGCGCGGAGACCAGTTTCGTGCACGAGCACTCCCAAAAATAAGGACTTGCGGTGGAGATACATTTGACTGATCCAGCGGCGATGCAGTTGATGGGATGGGTTGATACCCCTGTCGCCGGCCACCCCATAACCACCATGCTGCCGCCGCTCCCGTGATCGCACCAGGAATAAGTACACTTTCGCGGCTACCGCTGTTGTTGTGATCCCACCGATCGCGCCTATGGTGAACTGGGAAGGACGGAACAGAAGGGAAGCTCCCTCCACCATCACCTTGATTCGCTCCCCCGCCTCCACCAAAAAAGCCTGCTCCTTCCATGAAAGCTTAATGAAGGATCCAGTTACTGTAAAAAAATCGGTCAAAGTAACCCTTTGATCTGGCCGATCACAAAGTCAGTGTAAGAGAACAACTCTTGCACTTCTATATATGTAAAACTATGGTTCAAGATTTTAGTGGCAACAGAATCAGTATGTGTTGGTCGTTTTGGCCGAGTGGTTAAGGCGGCAGATTAGAAATCTGCTGGGCTCTGCCCGCGTAGGTTCAAATCCTACAGACGACGTTTCTTTTGTCGCCGTCCCTTTTCATCCTTTCCCCAAAGAAGGTGTGTGTGGCGTGATCTCTGCTCAGTGGCCGTCTCTCTCTTCCATCTCTATAAATCTCCACCTGTCCCTCATAGATTCCATTTACTCATTTATTGTCAATGCCCATGTTTCTCTCAAATGAGAGAATAGAGCAAAAAAGCGTCTCAAAATCCAAAATATTTGGGTTTTCGACTGTGAGACTTTCTCAGGGTGGATGGGTCACAGCCTGCGGCCATACAGCATCAACAAAGAGCGCTGTCACATACATATTATGACCCCTCCGATACCGATTTGCTTCCCGATCTGTGAAATCTTTGCTCGGAGCAGCCTTGCTTGTTTCGGAAGTTTTCAATCGAATCGGGCTGCTCTCCGTGTGGAAGTGGTGTTCCGGCACCTCCAGTGCCGGTTCATCTGACAAAAGTATCTTCATATCCGTAGAAACACAGAGGTGGCACAGCTCTCCACGCGTTGCAAAGAGGGAGATCGGACTTGGTGAGTGCCGCTAGGTGCCGCTTAGCTGGTATGGCAGAGGCTGGGGTGATTCAGTGGTGCTTGAGAGATGAGACTTCAGTGCTGATACTACTGCCCTGTTTTGTGTCGATTTCTGTTGCTTTGCACACGTTACTTCTAGATCTTTCATTTTCACGATTTTCGCAGGAGAGAAGCAAGTTTGCAACATCATGTAAATGAGTGAAATGGAATGCCTGACAGTAACGTTGAAGAACTATCGGCCGTTTGATCATCGGTTGCTTAGTTAGCATGTACGGCGACAGGGGAAGGGGGGAGTATACCACGCGCAACAAGGACGGTGAGAGGTTGAAGCCCCGGAAAAAAGTAACGTCGTCTGTAGGATTTGAACCTACGCGGGGAAACCCCAAGAGATTTCTAATCTCTCGCCTTAACCACTCGGCCAAGACGACTTTCAGATAGTGTTTACCAGTAAATAACAAATATAAATATAAAATTAATTCCTATTTGGTACAGTGCTCCGATTTCCCTCTGAGCATTAGCAAAATACAATCTCACTCCCCAAGTTGAATCCCAACCTCCGTCAACTTTGCCTCCACAACATTTTTCAATACTCTGTGTGCCTAATTAGCGGAGCAGAGGGTAGCGATGAGTTTACCCAACAACATCCGCTCATTTGATACTAAACAAACCGTGGAACTCACTTTACTTGCCCTCTCAAGTTCGATTTTCAGTTCTCTGACCCTTCCATTTTTTTTATCCAACAGCTTTTCCACTGTAGCCATAATACTCTTTGCTTTATCCACTGTGAGGGTAGCCTTGCCACTCGCACCAGGCGGAACGTCAGGGCGAGATAGCTCAGTTGCATGATTAGCAGGCTGTCTGTGACTTGTGCGGCGAGATGTCGGGGAGGCTTGTGATACGGTACGGAGTGGAGGAGGGAGCGACGCAAGTATTGCTGTGAGTTGAGCGTCCTTTAGGATGTGGTTTGAGTGTTTGATTCTGCAGATGAAAAGGATAAAGATTCTCCCCCTAAATTATTCTTGTACCTTCTTTTGGAGATCGTCGAGGATTTGTCGCGCAGCGCTCTCCAAAACCTGGAAAAGGGCGTAAAACTTCATCCTCAGAACCGTAAATTATCAGTAGTGGTCCCTCACCTTTCTTTGTGTATCTGCTCCACTGGTGTCGAGCGCTTGATTCATTCCTTCCGCCCATCCCCCGGCTAACCGACTTTGCTCCTCTTCCGCTGTCCTCATCCTCATATTCATCCTCTCGCACTCTATTTTTGCCTCTTCTACCTTTCTCTCCATTTCTTTGCATCGCTCTGTCACCATCTTGAGTGATGCTTTGAGCTTATCATAGTGGGTAAGGTCACGGCGAAGGTTGTCACAGGTAGCACGGGCTTGAGCGAGAGGTTGGCTGAGTGTTTTATTTTGGGCGAGAAGTGTTACGGTTTGTTGTGAGTGATTGGCAGATTGGGCGGACAAGCCGCTGGATTGATCCTGTGATTTGGTTGGGGTTTCTAAAACACACAAGCGAGGATCGCCATCAGCTTCACACTCTACCTTAAGGGAGTTAATGAGAGCAAGGTTATTGAGGGTGATATCGTTGTAGTAAGTTTTCATTTCAGAAAAGGCTTTGTCGTGTCTGGTTTTAATGGTGTCGCAGCTCTCTTAGAAAACCGCAATCATGTGCCGCAGGGGCTTTGAGATATTCACTGTTTGGATAGCGTGCTCAGCTGCAAATTTTTTCGTTCCTCGATTTCATGAACCTCGGTCTTCATTCTTAACTCCAAATCCTCTCGGAGCTCCTTGATCCTCCCCTCCCATGTCTCAAGTAGCTTGTCCTCCTTTCCTCTCAGTTCATCTTTCACTTCCTGAATCTCTTCCGCCATGCTTTTCTTCATCTTTCTGACTTCCTCTTCTTGTTCTGCTTGTAATTCCCGTGCTCCTCGTTTGAGGATTCGTTTTTCTGCTATGAGCTGGTCAGCCCTGTGAGCTGCTTCGGCGGAAATTTCAGTAGCACGTGAACCATGCTCTCGGTGATGGTGGTCAACAGCGTGAGAGAATTCAAATAACATGTGCTTTACTTTTTGTTTGTAGACCTGCGAACAAGATGTTGATGAGCGAAGAGTGAGATCCGAAAACTGCAGACCCATTTTTATCGTTTGCCATCTTTCGCAATTGCCCAAACCACCAACTTAGTTTCGAATTCCCCAGTTTCGTGGCATTGGGCCTCCGTGTGGAACCCTACTGGGTCACGAGTAACCCACGAACCTTGATCAGCAGTTGATGCTCTTCCTCCCCTTCTTCAAGTTCTCGCTCTTTATTGAAAACCGAAGCTTGGGATTCATTGAGCTCTTTATCCCAGATTGCTTGAAATGTTGCTATTTGATCCTATGGGAGAACGACAATCCATTAGCACCAGAAGAGAAGGTCGAACTAGGAGTCCAATCACCCACCCTTTCCACCTTAAAGAAGTTACGTTCCTCGGAAAGCTGCCTCGCCTCGTCCTGAAGCTTTTTGAGCGTCGCAACTAGTTGTTCGTCTGTCATTGCCTCCAAAGCTGCTGGATCGATTTCATTTTTGAGCGTGGCTGAGGAAGTATCCTACACAATTTGATTCGACGTGTCTGATTAAGCGGGTTTGACCAGAGAAATTCATTACAAGCGAATGGAAGAGGATGTGTTCAGGTAGGTGCAGCCGGCTCAAAGATGTACTCAAATGAGACCCATTTATTGCGATCTTGCTGTGAGAGTATGTCCGAATTGCTTCAAAGCCGGTACGCACCATGTTTGGGTTTGGCTACAGGAAGATGAATCGGAGAGGTCCAACGACAGAAGGTGAACCTACGCTTACAAGGTTGAGATTTATTGTCAGATCGTAGAGAAAGACAGGGAAATTCAAAGATGGGTTGCAGAGCTTCGCGGACACCCTTCACTTCGCAGGACCTGCGATCACACCATGAAAGCAATAAATCGTTGTCCATACGAACAACGACCAGTACTGATGCCACATCTTCCTCTTCCACCACCACCTCACATTGTTGCTACACTTCAAAACCCACCGCGATCAATCATACCGTTGCTGAATCCTCAATTCGTAACTGTGTTCAATGCACTCGGGGATTCGGGCCATGAAAGCCTCACTCGACTACTACCCGCTCCTTTCAAGTTAGCTGGACCTTCGATATGGACAGTTCCTCTCTTGAGTGAAATCGGGGCCATGAGAATAGTGGACTTCTTTGTCGGTAATACATTTTGTCTGATGCAGCGGATATAATTGGTGTCACGACATAAATTTTACCGAACGCCTGATGCTCGCTTCTTAGAGACAGCCTTCTACTTCCCTGGCTCTCGAACATAAACGATATGTTCTATCGGACAGCTGCTCCCCCTGGCGGCACTGCATGACCGAACTTTTTGGGATCATGCGAACACTAGCGCCTCTTATGTTTCCCGAAAATGAAGAAAGTACAAAGTGGATGTGGCCAGACATAGGGGACATGGTGGGACAGTTGAACATGGCTCGGTCCGAATCCCATCCTTTTCAATTGGTTCGCTCCATCAGTCCTTTGAAGCATCTCAATTTTTCTTGGTCAAGTACGTCCCGGACCCGTCCGATCCTGTGAATGGTGGAGGGCTAAAAATGCTTTCAAAACATTTTGACAAGGTGAGATTTGACCCTCACTATGGTTCGATTTTTCAGTCTCCCATCCACCTCCCCATCGTAATAATTTAGTGTTCTGTCACACTCAATCTGTGCCTCGGACTTCTACCCAATCCGTCGGGCTTCCGGGGTTCCGAGCTTTATTTCTATGCACATTCAGAACACATCAACCCTATTCTGACATATCGACATGAACCGGGGCGCTGTGTACTGCACCTTGGTGGCATCTGGCACGCTGTTTCGGAAGTAGAAGTGGGGGAAAGGTGGAATCTTATAGCATTTTTGAGATGAGTTGTGAGTGGAGACAATTAATTCGGGAGGAGGTCCAAATCGCGTCTGACGGTGCACAGGGATTCTGGGTTACAAATGAAGAAACACTGAGTAGAAGAATAACATGGTGTCAGAACTACACTGCATGCGAAATTATCTTTTGAATAATCGTTGGCCAGCACAACCCCACCCTCATTGAACCACCAACAGACCAAAGTCTCAGCAGTTCAATCTCGCGATCCCGGCCATCACCACTTTCACAGTTGCAAGGCCAAACTAACGGTCTTGAAATTTTTGGGAAATCGCAAATGAACGACACCGTAGGGGTCGGATCGCAAATCATCCAAGCAACTCCCGACGTGCCTGAAACGTCACTCCCCAGTCCGCCGTTCCCGCATCCGATTGATCACTTTGATGTCCACGTCGTGAGTAGTCCGGTGGTTGTGAAGATGTTTGAGCGTGTTCTCATGTCTGCCCGATTGTTTGCTTCATGACGAGTAGTACTTCAAGCAGTACAATAAACAGGAGGTATGTTTCATCTGGATATGCTGAACGGGAATCATTTCTGTTTG